GACATGCCTGGAGTTGTGTTTTCCAAGCACATGGACTGAGGGTATAAAACAGACACAGTGGCCACATGCTTGGCCTTTCTCCTTCGTCCATCTGAGTTGCAAGCAACAAAGACAAAGACTGAAGATTCCAAGTGAGTGGACTGGCCTGGTTTTAAGGGTGAAATCTGTGTACTATGAACTGAAATATCCAGTGGGGTGAGAAAAAACTGCTTAGTCTAGATGTTGTCCAGTCTAATAGGGTTCAGAGTTTAGACTGTGTGTTTATATTTTATTTCTTTTGGTAACTAACTCTGACTTTTTGCCTATCACTTAATATCACTTAAAAGCTATCTTTTATAGTCAATACATTTGTTTAACTATTTATCTTTACCAGTGAGTTTGTATGAAGTGTGTGGCAAATCTGCTCAGGTTTTGCAAAGGCTGGTGTGTGTCCATTTTCCATTGCTGAAGTGGTGAATTTGCACTACTCATTTTGAGGTACAGTGCTGGGAGCTGGGGGGATTTGGCTCCGGGGCCTTTCTCTGTGTGATTCATGAGTGGCTCTGGGAGCAACCATGCAATAGAGCTGGGTGTGGGGCTGCACATGTGGTTGTGCTGAGTGATCACAGCACCTGGAGGGGTTTGCTGCAGGTCACTAGCAAGGCATTGTGAGAAACAGCCCAGACCGGAGAGAGTTCAGGGAGCACAGTGGTCTCATAGTCCCAGGCCTCACCCTGGGGAGCCCGTCACACCCTCCCTACCTCTCTCCAGTAAACCTGGTCTCTTCTCTGCAGGCTGCCTCAGCTGCCATCGCCACCTTAATATCTGAACCGCTGGAAGCTGTGCACTGATGGACAGCTGCCACGTGGGGAGGGGATCATTCTCTCTTTTCTCCTCCCCCCAGGGAGAGAACTGTGGGTGCAGGCCTCCTCCTCCAGCCTCTACCAGGCAGGTGCCCAGCCTTCCTCAATGTGGGTGGAGCTGACACTGGGGATAAATCCAGCTCCTGACCCCGCCCTGATGCCATGAGCCTGCCAGGCACAGAAGCACTGACCACAGGGACCCGCTTTAGGATGAGAGCAGGGGGTGTGTGTGTGTGTGTGTGTGTGAGACATTATTGACACAAACTGGGACCGTATAGATGATTGTTGCAACCAAGGTCCTGTAGTGGCACCAAATCTTATATAAAGGAGGTCACATAAGGTGTCTAAGACAAGGTTATGGTTGGCTGGTTAGGATTATGCTATCTGTATGCAGATATCATTTTTGTATTTAAAGTTATAAGTATTGACTCTATACTGTCTGTATATCAAACTTGTGCTATGCTTCTGGGTGACACCCCAGACATTGTGACATCAGCACTGCCTAGCCTGCTTGAGGGCCCATTAAGGACCATCAGCTACACAACTGACCCACTGAGAAAAGGCAGACATGCCTTAGGACTCAGCAAGGTGTGCAGGGACCTGCCTAGGGACAGAACTCTGAGGTGTTTCCAGGCCATGGGATGGACAGCGTGTCTTTGGGACAAAGAAAGACAGACCACATGGCAAGAGGCTATAAAAAGCTGCTGCAGCTCCTCCATCTGGTCTTCAACCCTGCTTCCTGCCTCTGGAGGGACTTTGCTACACTGAAGCTCTGAACAAAGGACTGAACGACCCATCCCAGCTGGGGATGTTCTCCAGAGACTTGATTTAAGCCAGCAGTTTGTTCCATCTCTGCTACAAGCCTGAACCAAGAACTGTGCCATCGCTGTATGTCATTGATTCCATCTAACCAGTTTTAGCTCTCATCTATATTTCTTTCCTTTTATGAATAAACCTTTAGATTTTAGATTCTAAAGGATTGGCAACAGCGTGATTTGTGGGTAAGATCTGACTTGACCTGGGTCTGGGGCTTGGTCCTTTGGGATCGAGAGAACCTTTTTTCTTGTACTGGGGTATTGTTTTTCATAGCCATTTATCCCCATAACGAGGGGCACTGGTGGTGATACAAGGGAGCTGGAGTGTCTGAGGGAATTGCTTGTGTGACTTCTGGTTAGCCAGTGGGGTAAAACCGAAGTCCTCTCTGTCTGGCTGCTTTGGTTGTGCCTTAGTAATAAAGGACACTCAACTTTGGGCTGTGACTGCCCTGGTCTCAGCAATTTGTCCTGAACTGATACTCTCAGTTGTGTCCCGCCAGAGGCCGCATCGTTTCAGGTGGGAGAGCAGCAACCTGCTGAATGCCTGGGGGTGACGGCAGAAAGGGCGGGTTCTGTTGCTTCAAGGGGAACAGAAATGTAGGGCCGCCTCTCCGACTGGTGCAAGCCCATTGACGTCACTGGAAGCAGGCCTGATTTTCACCAGATCGAGCCCACAGTTGGTGCATTAGTGCTGCTGCAAAGCTTTTGGGCTGCGGGCTCTCGGGACGACAGCTCTGCTCTGCCCAGCACTGGCAGCTGCCACAAAGCACCACCAGCACCGACTCCCGGTAAGGCCCAGAAAGGCAGCCAAGTGGCCCCCATGGCCCTTGGTCTTGCTTCAAGGTGGCTAATTAGAGGAGTAATTAGGAGAGTAATAAACTCTCTCCACAGGTGTATCTCAGACCAGTCCAGCTTGTACCGAGAGACTCTTTGGCAGTAGAGAAGCGCTGCAAATCCTCCTCGCGGAGACGCAGAGCGCTGTGCTGGTGGCTCTCGCAGCCGTTCCCCCCGCAAACTAAGCTGTCCCAGCAAAAGCCCTCCTCTGCCAGTGTACCTGTGTCGACGCAAGGCCTTTGCCAGATAGACGTGTTGCTAAAATTCGAATCACACCCCTAGGGAGAACTGGACGGGAATGTGTTGTTAAAAAATACTAATTAATTGCGGGTGTGTAAGCATGGGCTTCCCACATCCCCGCTGAATGCCCAGCCCACCAGCTGGACTCTTCCAGGCTAGAGTCACATGGAACACGTGGAAAGACTCTGCTTCAGCCCAATGGGATGTCGGACCTTTTTTTTTTTTGAAACGCTCAAAGTTTTTGCTGGACAGGAAAGCAGTTCCCTGCCCATCGCTCCCTGTAGCCCACATTGCTAAACTGGCACCAGCTTCCAGTGCAGCACTGGCCTTCGTCTGGGCTCTCGGGGCCTGATTCTGCTCCACAGCAGCCGGCTGAGCCAGTCAAAGAGCCCCAATTATCTTTTGCAGGAAATTTCTTTTGTCTCTTTCTTTTAAATTTTTACGGGAAAACTTAATGACACCCCCCCCCCCGGCGATTTTTTCAGTAACAATTTTTGGGTTTTCATTTTCAAAAAAATCTTGGCTTTTGTAAAGCAACAAATGTAAATTTTTAAACCCCCAAATGAAAACTTTAGCTGAAACTGTTTACTGTGGAGTCCCTTTGGCTTTGCCCCATTTGATAACTGAGGGCAGAATCTGCATTTGTGGCTCCACTTGGTCTGTGCAAATCCTTTGTTCCTTATTTTCCCAGAATCTATTTTCTCCCTCGCTTGTTTGCAAGTGCACAAGGAGGCTCTGCCCCCTCCCGAGCCGGCTTGAGAGTCAGCACTGACAGCAGCTTTGCAATTCAATTGGCGCCTCTGAATGCAGGCCCAGGCGTGGCCATGCTGAGCTGACAGATGACGTCCTTAAGTGCAGATGGCACTGCCAAGGCTCCCTCTGGAGAAAGTCCTAGTCGTGGTACAGAATTGGCTCGCTGCAGCTCGCCCATTAGGAAGAGGAGTTGGTAAGAGAGCTCATTCTGTCAGCAGAGATGGGGGTGGGGGGCGCTTAGCTAGTCCTGCATTTTCTGTAATCCTGGATGGCTGGAAGAGCCAGGCCAATGATGCATAATACCCAGGAGACTCCATCCAGCTCCTCTCCCCCAACCTTCATCTAACACAGATGGAATTGTCTTAGCGAAACAGCAGCAGAGAGGGAATCAAGGTCCCTGTCACTGACTAGCTCTGAGACCTTGGGCAAGTCACTATCTTGGCACAAATATGGCCATCATTGCAGTATCAGGGCATTCCCGGTGCCTCAGTTTACCTGTGCATCTTGAGTTGTCTGGCTGTGCCTTAGGGCTGGCTGGCTCTTTGTTGCTGTGATGGGGTGCTGGGCAATAAGGGGTTAAGGGATTATTTTGGGCTCAGCCAGCCCCACCCCGCCACACCTGCAGCAAATACTCCATCTGCTGAGGGAATTAAAAGGCCAGGAATTAGCTCATTTGCGTGGCAGAGCTGGAGGTGAGCAGATCTGCAGCCAGCAGGGTGGACAGCCTTGGTTGCCAGACTTCCAGTAGCCCAAAGGGCCCTGGATCAGAGCTCAGTGGAGTAGGAGCGCCCGGGCTCCCCTCCCACAATCCCCTTGAATGTCAGGAGTTGCAGCCATGACCACACGGCCGCGCTCCCCAAGAGAGGAGCATTATAGTTGCCAACAGCAGTATTTTGTAACTGAGAGGAGGATCAGGTCCCATGGCTACAATGGTGTAAAACCCAGTGTGGTGTGACTCCACTGAGTCAGGCCTGTGGTGTTGCGATCTCGTGGTAGGGCCTGATTCCTGTGGCACATAGGTAAAGGACCCAATCTGTTCTCATAGTTATCCATGAGTGGTCACTTGATTCAGGTTAATAGAATTGCACCAGTGAGAAGAGAATCGGGGCCAAGAACTGTGTATAATGCCTGCTACCTTGGTGGGGGTGTGTGTGTGTGTGCGGTAGGAATGTTATGAGCCAATGGAGATCCATTCGGCAGATCAATAGCATGCAAATGGCAGCCTTTCTGCAGGTCTGGCTGCCAGCTGCATTGTTGTCCTTTGTCTGTGTTTGCATGCAATCCGCGGGGCGTCTGCAAGGAGATGGGCCAGGAGGGGAAGGCAGGAGCTCCGGGGGCGGCTGCATTGCAGAAACAAGTTTCCATTCCTCTTTTTTAGAACATCTGATGAAAAACATCTGATGAAGTGAGCTGTAGCTCACGAAAGCTCATGCTCAAATAAATTGGTTAGTCTCTAAGGTGCCACAAGTACTCCTTTTCTTTTTGCGAATACAGACTAACACGGCTGTTCATCTGAAACCTTTTTTAGAAAGTTGCCTTTATTGCAGCAGTCAGAGACTACGTGCTACGGAACTAGGAATAAATACAGAATCCATCAGCTTCTGCAAAAGGAAAAACCACAGCACTGGCGGAGCACGCAGGCAGGTGGTGGAGGTGGAAGTGCACCCAGCAGTCACTGGAGTCACTTGGATGGTGAAGCCAGGAAGGGCCGACTCACGCCAGGCACTGAGCTTGCCTTGCAGGATCACAGCCCGTGGGTGCATTATCCTGCGACACTCCATCCTGCCAGGCTACAGAGGGATGCTGTCCCCCCACCACACCAGCTCTCTCCCTGCAGCTCCTGTCCATACCACGGGATTTCTCAGTGATGTCAACAGAGCAGCCTCCTTGCCAAGAGGCTGAACCTGCTCAGACGAGTAAACTCATGGGGCTACACCCCATAGGACTCCCTACACACAGAAGGAGTTTTCAGGATTCATCCCCAAAGTGGGATGGGGCTGAGTTTCAGCACCTCCCTCCAAATAGCGTCCTCAGTCTGGTCTGCAAGCTGGACCTGTTTTCCCAGAAAGAACTGGGCCAGGATGGGGGAGACACCACATGTCACCAGTGATGTTGGGTTTTGCTCCCCTACATCCACCAGGCTGTGTGCAAGTACTCAGAGAGGGGAGTAGCTCTCCAGGTGGGGGAGTCTGCAGCCAGGCACTCAGCACAGAATAGCCAGCTGGTGCCTTGGAGGGCAGAAAGCCCAACTCCTGGTAGGAGGAAGTGTTGCTCATCAGCTACCTCCAGTGGAAGCCGTAAAATGGGGGAGCATTATTCTTCCCCTCTCTGTCACCAAGTGAGCAGCCAGGCCAGGCTGCAGAGCAGCAATTAGCGTTGGCCATTCACTGAACAGAAAGTCTCCAGGGAGCCTGGTGGCTGACAAGACATGGCCCCGAAGGGGCAAGAAGCAAACCACACTGCATGTGATCCAGCTCACAGGGGTAGGAGGACAGGAGGGCCTGAGTCCAGTCACAACATCTAGTGTCCTCTGGATCTTGAGTCCTTATGGTGGGCGGCTCATGTCTCAGCTGGATCTCTGGAAGGGGAGAACGGGCTCTTCGTACAACCAGAGCAATCCCTGTCCACGCCCTTCTCCCCTCAGTGCACGGAGCAGATGTGCCCAAGGCAGCGATGTACCAGGCTGCTGCGCACACTTGTACAGAGAGTGAGCACAGCTGGCTGCTCCCCCTTGCTCAGACCAGAGACCCTGACATGTCCCAAGTTCGTTCATTTACAAAGCAACATGATCAGCCTGGAGTCCCTGAGCCAAGAAATAGCAGTGGGGAACACCCCCTTTGCCTCTCCAAACACCTGCAGACAGCGGCTCCTTGGTGCTCACAAAACCTGGACTTAGCAAGTCTGTTGCCACGTGAAATTCACCACATGCCAGCTGCCGTGGGCTGGGCTGGAGCCACACATGTGTGGGGCTGCCACCCTACACGGCTTGTTGCCACATTGTCTCTGCACCCATTGCCCGTGGGACCTCCTGGCTGCCATTCAGACACTCCTGCCAAGGCGCTATTGCCCACAAAGGCACCGCAGCAAGCCCAAGGTCCCTGTGCTTCCACTGACCTCCTGGTGCAGTGAGGGGGAGGGTTTGGTGACATCCATCACCAGCAATGGACTTCTCCCCTTGGGGCACCTAGCCAAGCCCAGCCTGGGTCTGGGGGAGGTGACAGGGCCCAGAACCAGGAATCTGCTGTTGGTATCAGTCCCAGAGCTGCGTGGGACTCTGGCCAAGTGCCTTCCCCTCTCTGTGCCTCAGTTTCCCCAGCTGTAACTGCAAATCGTGATGCTCTTGCTCTGTTGTCTGATGCGTTGAGATCAGTGACCGTAGAGTGGAAAGTCTCATCAGCCTCCTGCCCTTCTCAAAGCCCTGGTGACTCCGTGGGGATCTATTTCCCTGCCTCAGGGTTCTCACCATTATGGAACTGATTCCCGGGGCCTGTCACAAACACACTCCTGCTGAAGGCACAGAGCCTTTGACCTGAGACGGGAGTAAGGGCATCAGGCCAGCACCAGATGGGCTCCAGGCAGCCTCAAGAGAACTACCTCAATGTTCAGCTTTGTGCCTGCTCCCCACCATTGTGCATAGCTCCCTGCTGCCCCTTGAGGATCTCCACAGACAGGGCCCGGCTTTGACGTCTCCTGTCCAGATCTGTCCTTCAACCGCTTGCCACAGCCCCAAGGCAAATCTGCAGGCTCCACGCCTCCCGGTGGCAGGACTTCCCCCAGCTAGCCTCCCTGCTGCTCTGGGTGCAGACCAGTGGCCCTGGCTCCTGGGCCAGCTATGGGCTTCGTGCCAATTGGGCTAGGTGCTACCACTAACTGGCTACAATGTGAGGCCTATGTCTTCAGTCATAGCAGCTGCTTTTGGGTGCCTGTTGTGAGCCCCTTTTGGCCTGTTCTTCCAGGCTCTAGCTGGTGTTGATGGGCACTGGTGTTGTTCGCTCAGTGCCCCTGGATATCAGGCCCAAGGGGCCCCCCAAAACAGAAGCCCCTGTTAGGAAAGTCTAGGTCTCAGCCTCTCTATTGTTAGCTACTCGATCCAGATTCCTGGCCAAGGTCCCTACCTGTATGCACTGGAGCGCTTCCCGTCCCCCTTGGCTGCTGGGCCGGCTGGAGCTGATCACACTGACTACTCACTGTGTGTTGGCCACCCGGGTCACGTGCTCTAACTCCTGCCCCATGTGGAGGAGATGCTATGATGGGATAACATGGTTTTGGTAATCAAATATTCATGGTAAATAGGTCCAATGGCCTGTGATGGGATGTTAGATGGGGTGGGAGCTGAGTTACCCAGGAAAGAATTTTCTGTAGTATCTGGCTGGTGAATCTTGCCCATATGCTCAGGGTTCAGCTGATCGCCATATTTGGGGTGGGGAAGGAATTTTCCTCCAGAGCAGATTGGAAGAGGCCCGGGAGGTTTTTCGCCTTCCTCTGTAGCATGGGGCACAGGTCACTTGCTGGAGGATTCTCTGCTCCTTGAAGTCTTTAAACCACGATTTGAAGACTTCAGTAGCACAAATATAGGTGTGAGGTCTTTTGCAGGAGCGGTGGGTGAGATTCTGTGGCCTGCGTTGTGCAGAAGGTCGGACTAGATGATCATGATGGTCCCTTCTGACCTAAATATCTACGAATCGTTAACAAGGAGCCCAGCCTGTCATGCTTCCTGGTATGGGCCTTTGGAGGACACAACGTCTGGAGCCTGTGAAAGTGCCAGTTGCTCCGGGGAGACCCAGTCGGGCTAGGCGATCCCAGCCCCTCCCATGGCAAGGGTACTTGCCAAGGCTGCCGCCTTCGGGCTGCCTCGGTACCACTAGCAGCGCCTGGCAAAATGCCATTGCCCAGGGAGTGTGTGAGCGCGTCCCTCCCGGGTGAGGCGTAGCGCCTGACAGGCCGCACTGGGCTGAGCACTGTCCCATCACCTGCCTGCCCCACCGTGCACGGGGAGAGGCCATGGCACAAAGAACCAGGAGCTGCTGGTTCCTGGGGCTCTGCTCAGGCTGCCCCAGCTGGAGAGAGGAAATTGGACTCCTTGCTTATTGGCTGTCACCCGCCTCACACGCTCCTATCCTATCCTGACACACCTTGCCTATCCCCACCCTTTACTCTGATATCCCCCTCTCGCATCCCTTGTTCCTCTCCTCCAGCCCCCTTGCCCACTGCACAGCTCAGGCGTTTGCCCGAGTCCAGGCAGCTGCAGGCATTCCCCCGAGAGGTGACCTCCACCCGGGAGAGGGTGCGGGGAAACCTGAAGCACACCTCGCTCGCTGACAAGAGCCAAGGCACTTGTTCCAGAGCGAGGTGGAGGGAGGAACGTATGCCTCAGGAGCCGGGTACACGGTCACAGTCACAGATCTGTCCTGGCAACCCGCAGGTCAACACTCCACTCCGTAGGAAACAAGCTGCGCCAAGGGGCGCTGCCCACACTGCACGTGCACCGTGCTCAGTAACTGGCACTCACCTGACCCACCTGCAGCACCAGGGAGCTGTGCTCTGCTACCTATGTGTTGGGAGCAGTGCATTCTGGGAAAACCTGAGTTGCTATCCCACCACGCTTGAGCGGGGCAGAGCCCCGGGGGCATGCACACAGAGCAGCACCAGCAACGTGTTCCGCAGTGTCACGCTACCCGTGACGCCAGGAGGACCAGCCAGCCTGGTTACACAGGTACAGTGACTGTTCTGTCCACACAGGGCTCTGGGCAGGGAAGACCACAGGCAGCTGCCACAGGACCAAGCCATGATCACGGCTGACCATTATTCCCTGGTGCCAAACTGGCTTCAACAAGGACTGTGGCATACAGTGCCGGAGCAGGCTCCACCGGTGCTGGGCTGAGGGTCATGCACCTCAGCTGGCCTCTACCCATGGCAGATCTGGGGCCAGGCACCAGCCATGTCTGCCCCTAAGGCAGCCATCAGGGTGCTGAGCCAGGCTGGCTCCCGGGGTACTCCAATCCAGGCTCCTCTTGGCAGATTTTGCCCAAGCCAACAAACCTGGTGAAGGGGACAGCTGGGGGAGAGGGCCTCACACAAGAGGGAACTGGCCTGGGGGAGGGTGGCCCTCGTTGGGGTCATGCGCACACCCCATCCCTGCTCAGACACCCATGCCCTGTGCTGGGATCAGCTGAGGGAGCAGTTCTGCTGCCTTCTGCAGTGTGTGGGTCACTTGCCAGGGTTACCTGGGTGTACCTCAGTCATTTCCGTGCCATCAGCCCCTCCTGTGCTCTGCCTGGGGCACTGCCAACCCAGGCTCCTGTGGACTGCGCACCTTTGGTCTCATTTCAGTTGCTGGATTCAGGCTCGGGTGCGGGATGGTGCTGGTGCTGGTGCCGGTGACATGCAGGCGGTCAGGCTTGATGACCTGGTGGCTCTATGACTTTACCTCTGGCAATCTGAGCCCTCTGCTCTCAGGGAGGCACAGGGCAAGGCTGCCTCAGCCTCCAGCTGCTGCTAAAAGGAACTGCAAGCCCAGCTGGCAAGCCCAGACTGCAGCCCACTATGCAAAACATGCTCATCTAACCCTCCCCCTTGTCCTTCCCCACCCTCTCCCCCTTAGTTGCACCTTGTCATAAACCTAGACTGCAGCTCTCTGGGGAAGAGGCTGCCACCCACTTCTTTGCAGAGGGCCTAGCAGCACGGGATCCTGACCCCTTGGTGCCAGGGGCCCCTGAGTGCCAATGTAACACATACGAAGTGCAGATGCTGCCAGGTCACTAGCCCTGTGCAGGATGGTTCATGCTCTGTCCGTAGGAGCAAACCCAGCTAGGAGCTCACAGGTGAGCTGAGATACCAAGCAGTGGTTCAGCAGCAGCTCTGCATCCATCCTGGCAGAGTGCCCATGGCAATGCCAGGGTCATGCCAGGGATAGCTAGCTGGATGTCCACACTCAGCCCGAATCCTTGGGTTAGTCTGGAAACTGACGCAGACAGGGAGGCAGGAATGCTGCCTCCTCTCACACTGAAATACCAACAGTTCCATGGCCTCCCTCCATCCCCACAACCCCCCAGCCCCAGCCCTGCACCCGGATAATGCCAGGAGGTCAGAGCTAGGAATGGCACAGCCCTGGAGCCTGCAGAAAGGAGTAGGTGGGAACTGTCTTAGCAGGGACTCTGGACTCAGCCTGCCGGCCAGGAGGCTCTATACAGCTCCAGGCTCCCTTCTCTGCTCCCTCCTAGATCCGGACGGTGTTAATGCGGAGTGGCTGCACATTCTTGCCATTGGCATGGCTCTGGCCAGGACTAAAGTATGAGCAGAGCTTGCCGGGGAACTTCTCCCGGAAGGTGTACAGCCACGACATGTCATCAGCATTGTAGAAGATCAGGAGGCCTTTGTCATAGTCCAAGAAGACGCCGACTTTCTCTAGCTTGCTCTTAACATTGAGCCGGGTCCAGGGCTGGGTGCAGGCGCTGTACTGGTTGCCGTCGTGCATGACGATGCAGTAAAAGCCACGGCTGGGCTGGATCTGAATGCTCCCCTTGCGGGTGACAGCCTCGTGTGCCAGCCCGATCATCCACTGGGTCTTCTCTGAGACGATGACCTCCCAGTAGTGCACGCCGCTGCCGAAGGCCTCTGAGCCCAGCACCGACACTTCCACGTCAAAGCGCTTGGGTGAATCCTGCAGCGGCTGCGGGTGCAAGTTGCCGTAGGCCACGATGGTGCAGTCATCCGACAGGATGAGACGCTGGTGAGCTGTGACGGGGTCCAGCGTGAGGGCTTCTGGCACTGGGAAAGCAGAGGGACAGGAAGGGGCTCAGAACCTAGCCACACCCCACACGGCTAGTCAATTACAGGCAAAGCACTTGCTTATGCAACGGGAATGTAAATGCCCCCAAAATAGGGGCCTACAAGCACCCACCCAGCCACCCCTCACACAGACAGCACTTCACAAAGAGCCGCAGGGACACCAGAGGGGGCTGTGCTGAGGGACGTGTGATGGGGTCAGTCAGGTGGCTCGGCAGCCAGCCCCCTGTAACTCCCCATCTGCCCTTGTGCTCCGCGCAGGGACTGGCCCCACAGGCGGGGAAAGCTGTTGGAGGGACCTTCTTGCGGCCCTGTAGCACGGGAGAGGCAATATAGCTAGCTAGGCTCTACCAGTGCCTCGGCTGCATTTAAAATCGCACCCGTGACACTGCTTAGCAATCCCTTTGGCACTGAAGCTTCCTTTAGGAGGAGGAAGATGCGAAGAGGTAGGGAGTGCTCTTGCCAGAGTACAGACCATATGCACAGATGTGCCAGGGCCTCGGAGATGGGGGCTGATGCTTTGGGGCCTTTCTGGGGGACCCCACACCACGGCTACATCTCTGAGAGCTCACCCAGTGGTGGGAGTTAGACACACAGATCAACGCCCTGGGTGAGCTGATCTGGGGTGGGATAACAAACACTCCACCCAGGTGTGTCACAGGGCTTGGCTCTGCTGGGCTCCCAGCTCGAGATGTACCCAGGCTAGCTCTGAGTGAGCGAGCACACTAAAAATAGATAGGTAGCCACGGTGGCACCAGAGGCCAGCCGCCCCACATACAACCTCCCTGAGACCCTAGGTGCGGACGCAGGGCGGCTAACCCTCCCCCATCTGTGCAGCTGTGGCTGCAGCGTTATTTGCGGCGTTCTAGCTCGATCAGAGCTAGCGTGGGTACGTCGCGAAATTACACTCCAGGGCCAGTGCAGATGTAGCCTCAATGTGGGATGCTCCAGCACAAGCAGCAGCTTCCTTGGTGTCTGTGGTGGGATCCCCGCAGCGAGCTACAGAGGGTGACAGCCCCTGCCCCAACCCTGCCTCAAGAAATCTTTGATGAGGATGGGTCTATGGATATAGGGGGAAAAGGGGAGAGTGGAGCCAGGAGGCCCGAGAGGGCAGGAATCTTGCTGCAAGGGGGAGTAGGGCACTGGAGAAGGAGAAGGTGGGGTGGCTGGTGGGAAGCACCAGAGCTCCCTGCCTGCTCCATCTAACAGACCTCCTGGGGTTTGGCAAGAGGGGCCCCACGCTGCTCGGAGCCACAGGGCAGGAGTACAAGGTCAGCTCCAGGCTGGCAGGGGCAGTAGATTCCTGGGGCGCCTTGCTGGGGGCCCCAGGATCCATAGAGACTCTGGCTCCCTCACAAGCTTTGGACAAGCAGTTCTCTCTTCCCACCACTGCCCAGCCCCCTAGCAAGGGGCTCCCTGTGGGGAAAGGCCCACAGCCTCCTCTATGGAAGCTCAGGTCCCCAGCGCTCACAGATGCCCCGCGCTGGGCTTGAAAGAGCTGATGCTGCCTAGCGATATTAATTAACACCATTGGTAACTTCACATTCATCAGTGAAAGGCTGGTGCCAGGCACTCGAGCTCAGTGAGGGGAGCCAGGCATGGTGATTTCATCCCTCTCCTTTCTTTTGGTTTTGCTGCAGAGTGGTAAACTCCACCCCCCACAGGCGCTTTTGGAATGGTGTGGAATGCCTCCATATTAGACAGTCATAACTCAGGAAGCCCTTGTCCAAGTCACTTCAAAATTTGTAGACAAATTTGACCATGGCACCAGGTCTAACCTACCAATTCCGAGGCCAATCTGACTTATTTTGTGGATGGGGGAGGGGGCAGGGGAAGAAAACCTGGTCTAAAAGGGAAACCCAAAGGCACAATGGGCGGGCATCACTCGGAGCCTGGCTCTTTGCAACCCAGATCCCGCCAGCCCATCAAAGGAGCTTGTGCCCACTGGGGCCGCAGCAGCGTGACAGCTCAAGCGGGGCTGCTGCTGTGCTGAGTGCAAAGAACAATGGCAGAGGTGGCACAGAGCAGTTTTAGCCGCATCCAGGCAAGTGTAATTGTACTCGGCAGACCTTATGCCCAGGCAGGACAGAGGGTGGGGCCCGAATAAACAAGAGCAGAAAGGCCAGCAGGCCGGGAGCAAGCTCTCTTACAGGTCACTGTGTCTCAGCAGAACACTCCATGCCCCAGGGGATGGATCGGCTAATTAATAAACATGGGTTGCGAATGTCTGTATCAGACACTGAGCTCAGTGACGAGAAACCCAGCTAGAAATGGAATTAACCCCCACCTCCCTGGATTAACCCCCCACTCCCCAGCCTGTCTCCAGGCCAGCTCCATCTGGGGCCGTATCCTTGCACTGCAGACCCCCAAGCTCCCGTTACCATAGCAGTGGGAGCAGCCCTGCGGAAAGGGCCTTTGTCAGCCTCTGATGCATTCTCCCTTCTCCCAGGAACAGGAGCTGGTGTCTGGGCTGCACACTGGGGCATGCATGGCCCTGGCTGGGGGAACAGCAGCAGCGGTTGGGCGGGGAGGGGGGAGGGAAGGGCAGGGTGGTGCATAGGCTCTGGGCCCCGTCCCTGCAGGATCTCAGGACCCCCAGACACAGGGTGTTCTCCCCAAGGCACTCTCACCCCCACTGCAGTCAATGGGTGCTTTGCTGCCTCGGTGCTCAGCCTTCTGCCCATTCGGATTTTGCCTGGGTCACGGAGCAGCCACATGCAACTACTGGAGGGGGCGGCATTTGAACCAGTGACCTGGAGGCAAAGGATTCTGTCCCCTCACCAGTCTGCCACTTGCACTCCCGCAGAGCCTTAGAACAGGAGAAACATCAAACCACACAGCTGGGGCCCCTTTGACAGAGGTCCATCATGGACATGCCAGGTGCTGGATCCCAGGCACTGCTGCCCAGCAGGCACTGGCATGTCACATACAGTCTGCTGCTGCTCGTCCCCAGCTGACGTGCTGAGTCCTGCAGCCCTGAATGCATCCGATGAAGTGAGCTGTAGCTCACGAAAGCTCATGCTCAAATAAACTGGTTAGTCTCTAAGGTGCCACAAGTCCTCCTTTTCTTTCTGCAGCCCTGTGACTTCCAGTTCAGAATCTGGCCCTACGTGCAGGGTTTTCCTGCCGGCGTCAGACCACAATGCCCTGAGGAGGCCACCGCGGCCATCTGTCTGCAGTTTAATCCCTCCTATCACAAAGGCTGGCCCAGCAGCCTGTATTTACCTAGCTAAGGCGACTCTCCCCACACGGCAGGATTTGCAGGGAGGCTGAGCGTCACCGCCCCCAGACCAGTAGACTTGTGGGTGCTCAGCACTTCTGATAATCACGCCAGAGGCCCTGGCTGCCACATTATGCCAGGAAAGGCCTGTAGTATGTTAGAGGGGGCAGGCTGCTCTCCCTGGGCTGGGGAACCATACCTGGATGGATGTCCTGGAAGAGCGATTTCCAGATCGTGTACTGCAGGGGGCCCATGTATTTGGAGGTAGGAAAGTCTTCATACGTGAGGTTTGTTTCATGGATCTTTCCCTTGAGCCTGGTTGGAGAGTCAAGCTGGTTAGCACGGAGCCCCTGCAGTTCCCCTACTGCAATGTGGGGTTTGCTGGTGAGGAAGGGGAGAGGTTACAGGGGTAGGGGGTCAATTGAGTGAGGGCCTGGCCTAGAGGCAGGAGCTCTGGAAGGAGCATAGGGCACTGCCTCTTGGGTCACAGCCACGTGGGCCCTGGGGTGCATACACCATGGGAGCGCTGAGTGAGGCCAGTCGGTATGCACACCCTGGCAGTGTCCCGTTGGTGCCAGGGCGGGTTTGGGGAGCTGCTCTGGACTAGAAAGGTCCTGTCCTCACCTACTAAACCCTTCCGTGGGCGTGGGGCTAAGCAGGCCTTCAGGATGATCAGGGACTAGGAATGGATGGGAGGGAGCCATAACAGGAAGGGCTTTGTCCTGGGCTGGGCTGGGCCAGGCCGGGGTGGGTGCTGACGAGAGGGAAAAGCTGTTGTCCAGGGAGATGCACTGAGACAGTGCTGGGCTGCAAAGGCCATATGCACCCCTCTGAGAGCCAGGTGATGCCCCCCTCCCCCCAGTACCTCTCCGAGAGCGAGGCGATGCCGGCCAGGAAGGCATGCCTGTCCATCTCAGCCAGCCGCTCCTGCAGGATCTGGCTGCCCTCCTGCACTTTGCGCAGCTGCTGGCTGTAGCGCTGGATCTTCTGCTCGATGTCGGTCAGAGTCCTGGCGGTGTCGGCCTCCAGCTCCTCCAGCATGGCCTTCTGGCGCTCACGCAGGAGCCGGTGCAGCCGCTCAAAGGCCTCCCCAATGGTGGCTCGCAGGCTCTTGGCAGACGACTGCACAGGACAGACAAGCAGAGAAGAGTCACAACAGAGCCACACACCACCCTCATTCCTTCCCGACAGCACCACCCAGCTCTGCCATTGCCCCCCATGCCTGACCCACAGCCCACCCAGCCCAGAGCTCCCCACACCCAGCTCTGCCAGAGCCCCCCACGCCTGACCCACAGCCCGCCCGGCCCTGAGCTCCCCACACCCAGCTCTGCCATTGCCCCCCACGCCTGACCCACAGCCCGCCCGGCCCTGAGCTCCCCACACCCAGCTCTGCCAGAGCCCCCCACTCCTCACCCACAGCCCGCCCGGCCCTGAGCTCCCCACACCCAGCTCTGCCAGAGCCCCCCACTCCTCCCCCACAGCCCGCCCGGCCCTGAGCTCCCCACACCCAGCTCTGCCAGAGCCCCCCACGCCTCCCCCACAGCCCGCCCGGCCCTGAGCTCCCCACACCCAGCTCTGCCAGAGCCCCCCACGCCTGACCCACAGCCCGCCCGGCCCTGAGCTCCCCACACCCAGCTCTGCCAGAGCCCCCCACTCCTCCCCCACAGCCCGCCCGGCCCTGAGCTCCTCACACCCAGCTCTGCCAGAGCCCCCCATTCCTCACCCACAGCCCGCCCGGCCCTCAGCTCCCCACACCCAGCTCTGCCATTGCCCCCCACGCCTCCCCCCACAGCCCGCCCGGCCCTGAGCTCCCCCACACCCAGCTCTGCCAGAGCCCCCCACGCCTCCCCCCACAGCCCGCCCGGCCCTCAGCTCCCCACACCCAGCTCTGCCAGAGCCCCCCACGCCTCCCCCACAGCCCGCCCGGCCCTGAGCTCCCCACACCCAGCTCTGCCAGAGCCCCCCACTCCTCACCCACAGCCCGCCCGGCCCTGAGCTCCCCACACCCAGCTCTGCCAGAGTCCCCCACGCCTCCCCCACAGCCCACCCGGCCCAGAGCTCCCCACGCCCAGCTCTGCCAGAGCCCCCCACGCCTGACCCACAGCCCGCCCGGCCCTGAGCTCCCCACACCCAGCTCTGCCAGAGCCTCCCACGCCTCCCCCACAGCCCGCCCGGCCCTGAGCTCCCCACACCCAGCTCTGCCAGAGCCCCCCTCGCCTCCCCCACAGCCCGCCCGGCCCTGAGCTCCCCACACCCAGCTCTGCCAGAGCCCCCCACTCCTGACCCACAGCCCGCCCGGCCCTGAGCTCCCCACACCCAGCTCTGCCATTGCCCCCCACGCCTCACCCACAGCCCGCCCGGCCCTGAGCTCCCCACACCCAGCTCTGCCAGAGCCTCCCACGCCTCCCCCACAGCCCGCCCGGCCCTGAGCTCCCCACACCCAGCTCTGCCAGAGCCCCCCACTCCTCACCCACAGCCCGCCCGGCCCTGAGCTCCCCACACCCAGCTCTGCCATTGCCCCCCACGCCTCACCCACAGCCCGCCTGGCCCTGAGCTCCCCACACCCAGCTCTGCCAGAGCCCCCCACGCCTGACCCACAGCCCGCCCGGCCCTGAGCTCCCCACACCCAGCTCTGCCAGAGCCTCCCACGCCTCCCCCCACAGCCCGCCCGGCCCTGAGCTCCCCACACCCAGCTCTGCCAGAGCCCCCCACGCCTGACCCACAGCCCGCCCGGCCCTGAGCTCCCCACACCCAGCTCTGCCAGAGCCCCCCACGCCTCCCCCCACAGCCCGCCCGGCCCTGAGCTCCCCACTCCCAGCTCTGCCATTGCCCCCCACGCCTCCCCCACAGCCCGCCCGGCCCTGAGCTCCCCACACCCAGCTCTGCCAGAGCCCCCCACGCCTCACCCACGCCCGACCCCCTGAGCCCCCACACCCAGCTCTGCCATTGCCCCCCACTCCTCCCCCACAGCCCGCCTCCTGAGCTCCCCACACCCAGCTCTGCCAGAGCCCCTCACTCCTCACCCACAGCCCCCCCCCTGACTCCCCACACCCAGCTCTGCCTTGCCCCCCACCCTCCCCCACACCCCCTGCCTGAGCTCCCCACACCCAGCTCTGCCAGACCCCCCACGCCTGACCCACACCCGCCCGCCCTGAGCTCCCCACACCCAGCTCTGCCATTGCCCCCCACTCCTCCCCCACAGCCCCCCGGCCCAGAGCTCCCCACACCCAGCTCTGCCATTGCCCCCCACGCCTCCCCCACAGCCCGCCCGGCCCTGAGCTCCCCACACCCAGCTCTGCCAGAGCCCCCCACGCCTCCCCCACAGCCCGCCCGGCCCTGAGCTCCCCACACCCAGCTCTGCCAGAGCCCCCCACGCCTGACCCACAGCCCGCCCGGCCCTGAGCTCCCCACACCCAGCTCTGCCAGAGCCCCCCACGCCTCCCCCACAGCCCGCCCGGCCCTGAGCTCCCCACACCCAGCTCTGCCAGAGCCCCCCACGCCTCCCCCCACAGCCCGCCCGGCCCTGAGCTCCCCACACCCAGCTCTGCCAGAGCCCCCCACTCCTCCCCCCACAGCCCGCCCGGCCCTGACCTCCCCACACCCAGCTCTGCCAGAGCCCCCCACGCCTCCCCCCACAGCCCGCCCGGCCCTGAGCTCCCCACACCCAGCTCTGCCAGAGCCCCCCACTCCTGACCCACAGCCCGCCCGGCCCTGAGCTCCCCACACCCAGCTCTGCCAGAGCCCCCCACGCCTCACCCACAGCCCGCCCGGCCCTGAGCTCCCCACACCCAGCTCTGCCAGAGCCCCCCACTCCTCCCCCACAGCCCGCCCGGCCCTGAGCTCCCCACACCCAGCTCTGCCAGAGCCCCCCACTCCTCCCCCCACAGCCCGCCCGGCCCTGAGCTCCCCACACCCAGCTCTGCCAGAGCCCCCCATTCCTCACCCACAGCCCGCCCGGCCCTCAGCTCCCCACACCCAGCTCTGCCAGAGCCCCCCACGCCTCACCCACAGCCCGCCCGGCCCTGAGCTCCCCACACCCAGCTCTGCCATTGCCCCCCACGCCTGACCCACAGCCCGCCCGGCCCTGAGCTCCCCACACCCAGCTCTGCCAGAGCCCCCCACGCCTGACCCACAGCCCGCCCGGCCCTGAGCTCCCCACACCCAGCTCTGCCAGAGCCCCCCACGCCTCCCCCCACAGCCCGCCCGGCCCTGAGCTCCCCCACACCCAGCTCTGCCAGAGCCCCCCACGCCTCCCCCACAGCCCACCCGGCCCTGAGCTCCCCACACCCAGCTCTGCCAGAGCCCCCCACGCCTGACCCACAGCCCGCCCGGCCCTGAGCTCCCCACACCCAGCTCTGCCAGAGCCCCCCACTCCTCCCCCCACAGCCCGCCCGGCCCTGAGCTCCCCACACCCAGCTCTGCCATTGCCCCCCACTCCTCACCCACAGCCCGCCCGGCCCTGAGCTCCTCACACCCAGCTCTGCCAGAGCCCCCCACGCCTCACCCACAGCCCGCCCGGCCCTGAGCTCCCCACACCCAGCTCTGCCAGAGCCCCCCACGCCTCCCCCACAGCCCGCCCGGCCCTGAGCTCCCCACACCCAGCTCTGCCAGAGCCCCCCACGCTTCACCCACAGCCTGCCTGGCCCTGAGCTCCCCACACCCAGCTCTGCCAGAGCCCCCCACTCCTCACCCACAGCCCGCCCGGCCCTGAGCTCCCCACACCCAGCTCTGCCAGAGCCCCCCACGCCTCCCCCACAGCCCGCCCGGCCCTGAGCTCCCCACACCCAGCTCTGCCAGAGCCCCCCACTCTTCCCCCACAGCCCGCCCGGCCCTGAGCTCCCCACACCCAGCTCTGCCAGAGCCCCCCACGCTTCACCCACAGCCTGCCTGGCCCTGAGCTCCCCACACCCAGCTCTGCCAGAGCCCCCCACTCCTCACCCACAGCCCGCCCGGCCCTCAGCTCCCCACACCCAGCTCTGCCAGAGCCCCCCACGCCTCCCCCCACAGCCCGCCCGGCCCTGAGCTCCCCACACCCAGCTCTGCCAGAGCCCCCCACGCCTCCCCCACAGCCCGCCCGGCCCTGAGCTCCCCACACCCAGCTCTGCCAGAGCCCCCCACGCCTCCCCCCACAGCCCGCCCGGCCCTGAGCTCCCCACACCCAGCTCTGCCAGAGCCCCCCACGCCTCCCCCACAGCCCGCCCGGCCCTGAGCTCCCCACACCCAGCTCTGCCAGAGCCCCCCACGCCTCCCCCCACAGCCCGCCCGGCCCTGAGCTCCCCACACCCAGCTCTGCCAGAGCCCCCCACGCCTCCCCCACAGCCCGCCCGGCCCTGAGCTCCCCACACCCAGCTCTGCCAGGGCCCCTGGCTCCAGACGTGCAGCTCTTCCACTCTATTTTCAGGGCTCATCACTCTCATTCCGAATTCGAGACGTGCTCTGCAGACTGGCTGGGTTCTGAAAGTTCGGCTCCAGGAACTGCCCAGTAGCTCAGACTCAACAATTACCGAGCTCTCCTGGAGTGGAATCTATGAATCATCTCTACAGGTTTGCTGAGACCCCTTCTCCAGACCTGTATCCCCAGAAGTATTCCAGCCCTGGGCTCCCCACACACCTCCCTGCTCTGGCCATTACGCCCTCACTATAGCACCCAGCCTTGCTCTCTGGCAGTGCCAGGCACTGATGCTGCGCCCTGCGTCTTCATGGCACTACGCCTAGTCACTCTGCAAGGCTGGTCAGTGTTACAGCTGGGGAGCCCCTGGCACCTCACCCCACAGTTGACTCAGTCTCTCCTCCCTACAGCACCCAGCACCGCTGACCTTCCCCCTCCCTCCCAGTTGCTCGCCTGTGGAAAGAACGTTAAGGATATTTAACAGCACCTTCGCTGCCCTTAACTCCCAGCTTACTTCCCTTCACCACACACCACTCCACTCCTCCCTCCTGTGGAATCATGCTGTCCTCGCCCCTGAGAGCAACCTCAGCCTGCCTCCAACACCCATGTGACACTTTGCTCCAGAATCCACTATTTCAGAATCGCACTGCTACTGCAAACCCTGTTAATGAGATTTTGTTCCCAAGGGACACAGTCAGCTTGAAATCTAGTCGGTTTAAAATGGGAGGGTCAG